GCCGAGAGACGCGTGGCCAGAGGTTCAGCTGGTGCGCGGCGTACCTGACCGCGTAGGGCCACAGAAAATGGGGGGCACGGGCGTGAGTCAGGGAGGTGCGGGCGATCTCCATGACCAAGCCTATGCGGCGCTCAGCAACCCCATTCTGCTGTGGGGACTCTGGAAGCGTCCAGGACTGACGAATGCCCTGCTCGCGACAGAATCCAGCGAGAATGCCGGAGCGAAACTCACCCCCGCGGTCGGAGTGGAGACAGCTGACACGACGACCACGAGTGTCCTGCGTGGTAAGCAACCACCTGATCAGCGTAGAAGTCACCTCAGACTTCTTCGCCAGGGGGAACACTGTGGTGTAGCAGGAGTAGTCGTCAACGACCACCAAAAAGAAACGCTCACGCTCAGGGCCCCGACGAGGGGCGGGGCCCCATACGTCCAAGTGGAGCGTTTCAAAAGGCTCGGTGGCCAGACGAAGGGAGGAGGAGTGAGGGGTGGCGCGCAGCCGACCCTCGACGCAGGGACCGCACGGCGGCGCAAGCGAAGGCGGCAGCGACGGCAAGACACGCGGGAGGCCTAAGACAAGACGCTGACGAGACATAGCGCGCAGACGAGGAAGGGACGGGTGCCCCATCCGGTGGTGCCACAGGACGGTGGGGTGGGCAAGGGACCGGCAGGAGCAAGACGCAGCGACTGGACCAGACGCAGGAACCTGACTCAACACAGCTACCTGGGGGGAAGGAGCAACCTGGTGAGACGCGGGGACTCGAGCGGAGGGCGGTACAGGGGCCGGGGGCAGTAGGAGCGGCTGCTGCTGCTGCTGTTGCTGCGGCTGCTGCTGCGCCAGCGGGCCAGTGTGAAGAGTGTAGAGACCGGAGCCCGGCTCAGCAGTAAAGGTGGCCAGCGGCTGGTAAGAGTCTCCGTCAACACACACCGCAGTCTCTCCGCTAAACCACACACCCACGTGCTGACTCACGAGGGGTCGCACGCCCACCAAGTTCCGGGAGAACGAGGGGACGTGAAACCCAGTGAGAGACCCGGAGGGAGCAGCAGGACACGGCAAGGTGGTAGTGTGACGCGCTGTGACCGGTCCCGAGGTGGGATCAGCCAACGCCACGGAGACAGGTGCAGGAAGTGGTGTAAGTGTCGTGCTGTCACGAAAGAAGCAGTGCGAGGCTCCAGAGTTCAGCGTAAACGACAGCGAAGTGTCCTCCGAGGTAGGCGCTGGACTAGAGTCTACACAAGAACCTACACTAGCAACAGGCAACTGAGCAAGGCTAGCACCTAAGCTAACAACACCAGAGTAAACAGAGTCAGAAACACTAGAGTCAACAACAGCATACATAGCATGAGGAGTTCCAATCAGATCTACCAACTGCTCAGCAGACATGCCCCACAGAGCGGAGCCGTAACGCTGAACAAGAGGAAGCCAGTCAGGGGCAGGACCGCCAACCCCGTAGACCAAACGAACCGTGTCAGTGAGCTGAGCAAAACACTGACCAGGGGGGTGAAAGCGGCCACAAGGGTGGCCTCGGCGAGGACCTGTCAGAACCTGATAGGTGCAGGGAGGGTAAGCAGCACCGCGCTGGGGCTGACGCAGCCCCGACCCCGGAGCCAGCTGCGGCCGCTGCTGCTGCTGAGGCTGCTGGGAGGAGAGGGGCTGCTGCTGCTGCTGACGGTGGGCCTGGTACCACGCCGCTGCTCCACCCACCGGGGCCGGCAGTACGGGAGGCGACTGACGAACTCGGGCGTCGCCACCACCAGCAGGCGCAGTAGAGTCACCTGTCGCTGCACGAGACGTCTCTCCAGGTCCTGCACTCCCACCACCGCCAGTCGCAACGCCACCTCCACTACCTCCGCCTCCACCACCACCACCACCAGAACCGCCCTTCTTGCCACCCCTACCGCGGGACCGCGACGCAGTCGTAACAGCAGCTGCAGTCGCGTCAGTAGCGGCAGTGGCGAGAGAGGCAGTAAAGGTGGGTAACTGCGGGACTGTGCACCCGTGGAAGAGTGGGGGGGGCACAGCACCAGAGGCAGCGGCTACCGAGCGAAGGTTGCTCTCGACGTCCTTGAGCGCAGACTCAAGGACCTCGACGGTGAGCTCACTAGGGTGCTTCAGCAGAAGCGCGTCGCGAACGGAGGCAAGGCGGTCAGGGAGGCTAGTGGCGATGAAATAGATAGTAATCGCCATAGGGGGAGGAAGCAGTGCAAGCTGTGCCTCAGTGCAAGCAGCGCGGTAACTAGCGTCGAGCGAGCGGAGGTGAGCGATCAAGTCAGCAGAGCGCTCAAAAGACGCAAGGTCAGGGAACAGGAACGGGAGGAAAAGGCGGCCAAGAGAGACAGTAGCGGGAGTAGAGTAGCGGGCCTTAATCGCAGTGAGGTACTCAGCAGCGGTGCGAACCTGAGTGAAGTGAACCTCCTCAGACTCAGGGAGGAGGCTACTGAGCGCGATGCAGGCCGTAGCGTCACGCGACGTGCAAGCCATCTGGTCAGCTCGCTGGGTGGTAAAGTGAGCTCTAGCGGCGTCGTCAGGGGCAGGTCCTAAAGGCGTAGGGTCGGGGGGCGCAGGGAGGGCACCAGCAGCGTGCGCCCAGAGGGTCTCGCCTGCCTGGACCTGACTCTCTAACAGACGGCGAGCGCGAAGAAGCCAGACGGAAAAGTCAAGAGGTCTACCGTCAGCGTCGAAACGAAGAACACGCTGAGTCGCCATAGCGAAAACAAACGGACGAAGCGGCGGGCAACGGGAGCGGACGCAGCGGTGGAAAACGAACGTGGGGCACGGGCCAGGGCGACGGGCTAGGGCGCGGGCTAGGGCGACGCGCTAGGGCGCGGTCTGGGGCGCGGGCTAGGGCGACGGTCTAGGGCGCGAGCTGGGTCGTGGGCCTGGGCAACGGGCAAGGGCGCGGGCCTGGGCGACAGGCTAGGGCACGGGCTTAGGCGACGGGCAGGGGCGCGGGCCTGGGCGACGGGCTAGGGCGCGGGCCTGGGCGACGGGCTAGGGCGCGAGCCAGGGCGACGGGCTAGGGCGCGAGCCAGGGCGACGGGCTTGGGCGACGGGCTAGGACGCGGGCGTGGGCTGTTGACCGCTATTTGGGATAGATAGGCTCTAAACACACCTTTAATTCACACTAGGTACTCCCCACGGGGTCACCTCCAAGGGTCCTTGGGTGCCTGGCAGAGCCAGCCCCTATCCAAGGGTCCGTGTTTGTAGAGGGAATTCCCTAAGTGCAAAAACAGTCGTGTGTACTAGAGCGTTCCCAACATTCGTTGCGCAGCGTTGACGACGAAACGGGCTCGTGTGCAGAATAACTCTTCACGTCAATACGTTGATAGAGCACGTTAACTCGTGAGAGAGATTCAGAAAATATTTCCACTAGAAAGGATTGTCACAAACAAGCACAAGCAAGCATTTTATATTTCGTCTAACACACAAGCAGAGGGAAATAGCAAAGCAGTTGTCAAACTGAATTTCGGATCTTCGCCATGCTGTACTCGAAAACGGTTGCTCAACTTGTTGGGCTATTGTCTTCTTTCTCCTCTTGTAAAAACCTGTACTCAAATTTCACTTAGGACAATTTCCCCTGCTGACTCCTCGCATGAGCACTCATAACTTCCATGTGCCTCCAATGTGACTCATATGAGTTCCATGCGAGTTTACGGTTATAAAACGGATTCAACCGTTGGACGACGCGAGTAACCGAATTGTACCTGTGGCGAAATCATTCCGCAATACAGAGTGACTTTCGTGCGCAATTTCTTGTTCCACGAGTCAACTCCGAAAACAGTTTTTCAACTGTAATTTCCGAGCACCCTTCGGAATCTTGTAGCACCCCTCGAGACACATGCGCATCCCTCATGTGCACAATCATGCACGACCAGACAAACTGGTCGTGCTGTACAGCGCAAAAACGTGCGCTGTACTGCGCGTGGACCTGGCGATCATTCGCTCACATGAGCCACGAATGAAACATTCGAAACAAACGGGACTTTCATGGGAAGCTCATTTCAGCCTCATTAGAGCTTCATGAGAGCTTTCATTTGAGCGCATCATGTGAGCCTCATTTGAGCACTTCATGAGAACAGTGAAAATACAAGTGCAAATGCACTAACACAAAATGCAGTTACGGATTAAAACGAAACACACAAAATGCAAAAACAAATGCACACTGAACACACACAAAAATGTGCACACACAAAATGCAAAATGAAATGCACATCTTCCACGTCACAAATTACCTTCAACCAAACACCCCATTTTTATTTGGGAAAATATGTCAATGGTAACTTACATGGGGCTCCGTAACGCGTACGATAACGATTTCATCGCGTTTGGTAACCCGCTTAACGCGTTTGGTAACTTGCTTAACACGTTTGGTAACTTGCTTAACACGTTTGGTAACTATACACTAGCAGCCCATCACGCGAATGGTAACTTCGATGAAATCAACTCTGACATGACCCTGATTTGACGGTTTCCCGCTCGCGCCAAACCAATCCACGAGCTGTGATGCACCCACGTCCTCCTGAACCACGTACGCCACTCAACCGAACCAGAACCAAGCGTATTGTACACCGCGTGCACACTAAGATCAACCCAACCTGCAAAGCTACAAGCTTCCCGTGGCCCACCAGATTGCTCCCCGTCATCCTGCTCTAGCCCTATCACACTCCACACTAACTTACTAGTAAGGACTTCTTAGCAGACTTATTACCCCCCATCAAATTCAAGGAAGCTCGAGTTACAGCTGATCCGTATCAGAGGTGCGTCTCTGTCCCTTTCTCTTCCCTATATGCTGAACCTACTCGAATCTATCCATTCTTCGAAATTCTGAATGCTCGCCGCTGGGCGCATAGCGCCTGTCTCGCAGCCAGCGCTATGCGCCCAGCGGAATGCTCGCCGCTGGGCGCGTAGCGCGCATCTCGCGGCCAGCGCTATGCGCCCAGCGGAATGCTCGCCGCTGGGCGCGTAGCGCGCATCTCGCGGCCAGCGCTATGCGCCCAGCGGAATGCTCGCCGCTGGGCGCGTACCGCGCATCTCGCGGCCAGCGCTATGCGCCCAGCGGAATGCTCACCGCTGGGCGCATTGCGCCTCTCTCGCAACCAGCTATGCGCCAAGCTATGCGCATTCCGCTGGGCGCATTGCGCCTCTCTCGCGGCCAGCAATGCGCTCAGCGGATTGCGCATTCCGCTGGGCGCATTGCGCCTCTCTCGCGGCCAGCAATGCGCTCAGCGGATTGTGCATCTGCTGGGCGCATTGCGCCTCTCTCGCGGCCAGCAATGCGCTCAGCGGATTGCGCATTCCGCTGGGCGCATTGCGCCTCTCTCGCGGCCAGCAATGCGCTCAGCGGATTGCGCATTCCGCTGGGCGCATTGCGCCTCTCTCGCGGCCAGCAATGCGCTCAGCGGATTGCGCATTCCGCTGGGCGCATTGCGCCTCTCTCGCGGCCAGCAATGCGCTCAGCGGATTGCGCATTCCGCTGGGCGCATTCGCCTCTCTTGCGGCCAGCAATGCGCTCAGCGGATTGCTCACTGCTGGGCGCATTGCGCCTCTCTCGCGGCCAGCAATGCGCTCAGCAAATTGCTCACCGCTGGGCGCATTGCGCCTCTCCCTCCAGCGCTATTCGCCCTGCGGAATCCTGACTCCTGGGCGCATAGCTGCTCTCTCGCGGCCAGCGCTATGCGCTCAGCGGTGAGCCCACCCTTTCCTTGCTTTTACTCAACCCCGCCACTCTCTCTCTCTCTCTCTCTCTCTCTCTCTCTCTCTCTCTCTCTCTCTCTCTCTCTCTCTCTCTCCTCTCTCTCTCTCTCTCTCCTCTCTCTCTCCCCCCTCTCCCTCCCCACCGGTACTAGGGCAGGTGTTTGCAGGCTTCTTCGCCCCACAGCCATTCCGCTTTGAGCCATACGACCACCTCACCAACATCGTCAAGGTTCGCTCACTCCCTCACTCCACTTTACTTGAACTGCCCTGCCCTTGATGACTTCCAGAAACATGTGACTGCTCCCCCGTGGGGGCTCACCGCTCACCAACCTCATCCAGGGTTGGGGACTCACTCACTGCACTTCAACTTCCCTGCCTTAGGCGTCTCTCACGCGGCCTGCGATGCGCCCAGCGCAGAATGAGAGACCGCAGGCCGAGTATTTTCCCCTCTCATCCCCGATCATGCAATCTCTTGCCTCATGTCAGGTCAGGCTTTGCACGTGCATGTTTCAGAATAGAACGGGCATGTTTCAGATCATGCACATGCAAATATCAGTAGGGTTTGGCACGGGATGAGCTCGGGGATTGCAATTCACTAGGATGGCTGGCAAAAACCACCTCCCCCCAAACCCCAAACCCCAAGGCTCCGTGGGGATGAACAGGCCTGGCCAAACCGGGCCAGGCCTAACATGCCAGGCCTGGCTGAACATGGCAAGCACCCGGCCAGACCGCTGAGTGAGGGGGAAAGAGTGGGGGATGATGGAGGAAGCACGCTTGTATTCAGCCCCTCACATTCCCTCTTGTTATTTCTCTCGCCCTACTCTTCCCTCTCATCCTCTCTCGTCCACTATCCAGCCCTCGATTTCCAGGGTTAGTCATTCCCTATAATGACTTGTTATTCCATCGGGTTTTGTCCCCTCCCCTATCTTCCTCTCTCATCCCCTCTCATTCTGATCCCATGTCCTACCATTCATCCCCATTTTTGTCCTCTCATGCAAGCCCCTCCGTATTCATACCCTCCCATCCCCGTTTATGTCCTCCCATTGCTTCACCCTTTAAATCTACTTCCTAATCTCTTCTTGTTATTCCTCTCTTTCTATCTTCTGCCAGATCGAGATTTACCACCCCCCCTTATCCAGCCATCTTAAAAAGTTTTTTCTCTCTCATCACCTGTAGCATATCCGTCCCTCTAGTCTTCTCTCATTCTCTCTCATACGCTACTAGTACCCCACATGCCTGATCATCGCCAAGCATACCCTTTAACACCCTCTCCTGCTCCCGTGATTGAATCTGCCCTCAAATTTCACTCATCCACTCAAACTCTCGATATCCCATCTCAGGTTGTGCCCATCCCTATCCGACCCGTCCTCATCCCCCCACATACTCATGTACATCCCCTCTTATGTTGTTTCCTGCTATGACCAACAGCTTATCATATTATCCCCTTTCATAATCCCTTTCATCCACTCCTATGGCATCTCCAGCAATACCATTCCCTGTCTTACTCCATTAGGGCATCACATTCTCCCACACATCGCGACGCACAATCCCACGTATGCCCTCATCTGCTATACCCTCCCCTGCTATACCCTCCCCCATCCTGACAGGGTACCCCAGATCATTCTCTTTCATACGCGATCATTACCCCACACCACATTCTATGCCATCTCCAATCCCTCCCTCCACTCCTCGTTCCTGCTCTCTTATGCCCTCCACTGCTACACCGTCACCTATCACACTCTCTCACTCTGTTGCATTCTGTTTCGCATCCCTTCTTCTGTCAAACTTTGCGGATAAAAATTCACGTCCCTTCACCCCATCTCAAATCCCTAACCCTACCCCCTCTTCCCCTCCTTTTCTCTCCTATCTCCTGTAATTCCCTCTTTATGGATCCCACATGCACAACGTCCCCTCCTATCCCCCCTCAATCTCTGTGCTTATGCTTTAATATTCCGTCCGATGCTCAGCCATTATCTACCTTGCATTCTTTTCCCATTCCGCACAATCCCTCTTAACCTCTCCTATTGTAGGTCTCCCTCCCATGCCATGCCATGGCATGGCTTGCATTGCTATACGACGTGGTGCCATGATCCTCCATCATATAGTATAATAGGTTACCACTGTGACATGCCATGCCATGCTATGCCATGCCACAGCACACCACACCACACCACACCACACCACTCTAAAGAACACATGATCACCTAATTCCCACATCACATTTCGTTCCACCGACCTACCCTTTGTGAACCTGCCCTCCAGGCTCGACGACCGAGTGAGGCTCGGGTGGAAGCTGACAGCGATAGAGAAGCGGCCAGGTGGCAGCGGCTTCCTGCTGTCCTACAACACTCCCGAGGGCGCAAAGCAGCTCCCTGCACGCTCCCTGCTGCTCACCGTGCCCTCATACGTTGCTGCTGACCTCCTCAAGCCCTACTCGGTGAGCATTCCCCCTGCTCTCTTGCAAACGTGCCTTGGGTTTTGAGACGTCTCAAAAAGCGACAGCACTACAGCCCACCCATGAGAGGCGACCGCCTGGTGGGGGGCGAACTGAATGCACTGCACTGATTCCCCTCTATCCCTCTCATTTCCTTGCCTGCCATTCCTCCGCCCCTCCTCACCCCTCCCACAGGCAGCAGCAGCAGCCGCCCTCTCAGCCTTCTACTACCCACCCGTGGCAGCAGTGACAATCTCGTACCCCAAAGAGGCCATTCGAGAGGACAGGCTCGTGGGCGGCGAGCTCAAGGGCTTTGGGCAGCTGCACCCGCGCACCCAGGGGGATTGTCACTTTGGGTAAGTAGGATGTTTGGGGAGGAGTGGGATGAAGGAGCCTAGGGAGAACCGGACACGAGGTGGGCGGGGAAGTGAAGGGAGCTCAAGGGCTTTGGGCAGTTGCACCCGCGCACCCAGGGGATCGTCACTCTGGGTGAGGCATAGGTTGCCAGGCAAGCTTGAGGTTGGTTGAGGGATGGTTCACAGAGATGGTTGAGGGGATGGGCGGGAGGGATGGGCGGGAGGGATGGTTGAGAGCGAGATGGAGCCTAGGCGATATCGGCAGACCGCATCTAGTATACTACTCTGTTCCACGATCTATCTCACTTTTTCCCTGTCTGGGCTCCATGCTCCTTGCTGTGACCATGCCCATTCTTCTTAAGTCCAGCCACCCTCTGATACATGCTCCTCCCTCCTCTGTCCCAACTGTGCTTCATACTACTGTCTGTGCCTGCCCTCCCTCCCCTGTTCTATTTCCTGTCTCCCGACCGAGCCTCATCCTCCTTGCTCTCTCCCACTGCCGTATGACCTCCCTCACCTCCCTCTCACACCCCTTGACCCCCCACCAGGCACCATCTACAGCTTGGTGCTCTTTCCCAACCAGGCTCCGGACGGCCGTGTGCTGCTGCTGTGCTACATTGGGGGGGCGTGCAACACTGCCCTCACTTGTCAGCTTATTTGACCTCATAGCCCTACTCTCACCTACTCTCATTATCGTTCTGAGTTTGAGACCTCTACTGTGGGAATTATGTCTCGCATCCTGCGTTCGAGGTGCGACCTCATTCCTGAAGATCAGTTTGTGTTATATCATTTGCTATGACAAAGCAAGTGTGATTAACACTTGCACCAATACTCCTATCCTCCTATTTTCTGGTCCCCAGGGTCCTTCAACACCGTATGGATGATGCAGTCAACATCTACCTAGGGAAGGTCTACACTACTGCAAGCGTGGCGAGGGAGGATGTGTTGTTGTTCTGTCAGCAGCATATGATTGTGCCGCGCTTTCTTTATTGCCGCCCAAACCTGATTGTGTTGCAGTGTAACACAGTGCACCGCCTTCCGACTGTGTCGTTGCACAGTGAGGATGGGCTGTGCTCATTTCGTATTGTCATAAGGGGAGTTGGTAGCGGCAGCCTCGAGGTAACGGTGGCAAGATTAGAGCATGACGTTTGGTGTACCGACAGCCGTGCAATTGTCTGAGTAGAGGTTGTTATGAGATTGCGCTGTTGTGCAATGAGATATCATGAAAAGCAAGATGACTTGGAGGGGTAGGACAGGTTGGCACATTTGCAGGGGCACAGTGTAGAACGAGAGATGCTGTCTAAGCTAATGGCGTGTTGCAATTCAAATCATTGTTACGGTAGCTCCAGTTTACCCAAACATCACAGGAAAATTACAGATGTCTTCGCGACAAGCTTCTGTATGCGGGTGTTATGGAGTTCGAGAGATCCCGATGCATGGCAAACATGAACATAACACTTTCTCACATCTTGTTGTATAAATGCCCACCAACCATGACTTTACACAATGACACACTAGGCAAGCTGGGCTGGGCCATGTTGTTGTATGCCCACTAGATGCTCACCTATTGTTGTCATGCTTGTCACACTAAGCTTGACTTTTGGAATGTTCATAACATTTAAAAACAACACCATCTTGTCCTACTACTGTGGACAAACACTGGTGGCCATCGCCCTTTTCCGCATATGGTACTTCTCAGGCTTTTGCCCATTCTGTCACCCTCTCGTCCTATCCCCAGCTTCTCACGTTGATCCGTGATTGAAGTGCAGGCCGCCTGGTGCGCTATATCCGGGATGAGACACCTTGTGTTCTGGGCTCTTGCTTGCTACCGGCAAGTTTATGTGCTGTATGCTCTGTTTTTTTCCGTGAAATAGAATATCCAGCGTAGCATGTTACGAACGAAACCAGCCTATCTGATTTACAGGGTGGAGTGTGAGTTTAGTCATATTCACCAATGGACAAGTAAAGTCTCGCACACAATTTTAAGAACCTAGCAAGTGTATACTTGACTAATTGTGCTGATGGTTATATAAATATGTAAACCTATATGAGGAGGGTCTGTGGGGCGCACTTTTAACGTACCTATGCCACACCCACGCTTTGGTCACAAAACAATCCTTCTATTTAGTAAAATACATAAAGCATACGTAGTACTGCTGATTATTGCCATCACCGTTCTCAGCTCCACCCTGTTCTGTTGACCAAGTACCAACTCCAGTCACCAACCCGTCCACCCGACTCTGCTGTGGCAGACCTACATGGCTCCAGCGGTGAGCGAAACCTCCTGCGTTCTCCTGCATTGGCATCCCATACAATCCCCACCGCTGATCGATACCACTGTTACTAAATTGCCTTTGTAACAACCCTCCCATTCCCTGCTGCCCTCCCATTCCCTGCTCCCCGCACCTTCCGTGCTGCCCACCCCTTCCCTGAGGCCCTCCCATTCCCTGTGGCCCTCCTAATGTCTGTGGCTCTCTCATTCTCTGCCGCCCAACCATTCCCTGCTGCCCGCCCTGTCCCTGCTGCCCTCCCATCCCCTGCTGCCCGGCCAAACCCTGCTGCCCGCCCCTTCCCTGTGGCCCTTCCCTTCCCTGTGGCCCTCCCCTTCCCTGTGGCCCTCCCCTTCCCTGTGGCCCTCCCCTTCCCTGTGGCCCGCCCCTTCCTTGTGGCCCTCCCATTCCCTGTGGCCCTCCCATTCCCTGTGGCCCTCCCATTCCCTGTGGCCCCCCCATTCCCTCCTGCCAACCCATTCCCTGTGGCCCTTCTATTCCCTGCTGCCAACCCATTCCCAGTGGTCCCCTCAGTCCCTGCTGCACGCCCATTCCATGCTGGTGGCCCATTACCTGCTGCCCACCCATTCCTTGTGGCCCACCCAATGTCTGCGGCCCGCCCATTCCCGGCTGCCCACCCATACCCTGCTGCCCTACCATTCCCAACCCTAGCATCCCTCCCAACCCCTGCTGCCCTCCCGTGTCCTGCTGCCCTTCCGTTTCCTGCTGCCCTCCTGTTCCTTGCTGCGGAGGCGTTCCATGCTGCCCTTGCATTCCCGGCTGCCCTTCCAACCCTTGAAGCCCTCCCGTTTCCTGCTGCCCATCCCTCCCTTGCTGCCCTCCCCTTCCTTGCCTCCCTCCTCTCCCTTGCTGCCCTCCCCTTCCTTGCCTCCCTCCTCTCCCTTGCTGCCCTCCCCTTCCTTGCCTCCCACTTCTCCCTTGCTGCCCTCCCCTTCTTTGCCGCCCTCCCCTCTCAGTACCTTCCAAACAATCAGCGCCTCCACCTTCTTCTGTGGAAGACACCACCCCGGACGTGCCTCTACCTCTCCCTCCACCCCTTCCCTGTTGACTTCTACCTCGACCACGCCCTTCCTCCGAATGCCCCACATGCACATCGTCATCGCCTACGTGCCCCACCACTTCCCTCTGTATATTGAGACTTTGCAACCTCCGTAATCGCCCCCGAACCACGTCGTCCGCACTTCTCAGGCCACCCCCCCTCGGAGTTCCCTCACCTGCACTACTACCTTGCGCACCGCCCAAGTGCAATGCTTCGGAACCGGCCCCCAACTCATCCGTCGCTGTTTCGGGAGGGAGATCCCCGGCAGGTACAGGCACCCTCCCAAATATTTCCGTCAACACAGAATCTGCCGGTGTGCTCCCATTCTCCTCTCCATCCCCCTCATCTTCCCCGCTGCCCGACTCCTCGTCCGGTTCGCTCTCATCGTCACTCTCACCAGTGGTATGGATACAACGAATACCTCTCCGATGACTTCGGTTACATGCGCTACATGGGGTTACATGTACCGCGCCGTCCGCTGTGGTCATCATCTGCACAGCCAATTGCCCTGCTGGGGTTTGTAATGCCTCCCACAACACCCGGTTCGCAGCCCGGACCTCACATGTCCTAGAGTTATGCCCCATCTCACCACACTTGCCACACTTGCGCAGTTTGATAGGGTCGACCTCTCCTGTCGAGCGAATCCTGTTCTTTTTTGGCCGGCCCGCCCTTTTGGAGTAGATTGGCGGTAGAGTAATGCCATCCGGGATCACTGACGTGGGGTCGAGGGTCCGAATCGGGGTCTTGTACACCTGCTGCAGCGCCGAAACCGTGTGGCTGTTGTGTATCACAGCGTGGGCCTTGTGCCCTGCATCCTTGAACACAGCAAAAATGTGGACGCACGGCAGCCCATACTCCCTGTTGTTGGGGTATTGGGGTATAGGTGTCGTGGAATAGGGTGGTTGGTTATTGAAATGATTGGTCAAAGAAGCACATACATATAGTCATGCGCACAAGCCGTATACGTAAACAAACAGTCCCATATGTGGCATACAGTCCCTCCCATCCATGGCTACCACTTTTTCCCTTGTTGTCCCCTCTTATGTTGTCTTGCCCCTTTCGCATGCTGCCCTACATTTGCTTGCTGATCCAGCCCGTATTGTTTGGCACAATATCCCTCCCTCTATCGATCTGACCCCCTCCTTCCCTGCCTCCCTTTCCATTGTTGCCCTCCTATGCCCTTCCTTGCTGCCCCCCATAACCCTGCTGCCCCCCATAACCCTGCTGCCCCCCATAACCCTGCTGCCCCCCATAACCCTGCTGCCCCCCATAACCCTGCTGCCCCCCATAACCCTGCTGCCCCCCATAACCCTGCTGCCCCCCATAACCCTGCTGCCCCCCATAACCCTGCTGCCCCCCATAACCCTGCTGCCCCCCATAACCCTGCTGCCCCCCATAACCCTGCTGCCCCCCATAACCCTGCTGCCCCCCATAACCCTGCTACCCCCCATAACCCTACTGCCCCCCATAACCCTGCTGCCCCCCATAACCCTGCTGCCCCCCATAACCCTGCTGCCCCCCATAACCCTGCTGCCCCCCATAACCCTGCTGCCCCCCATAACCCTGCTGCCCCCCATAACCCTGCTGCCCCCCATAACCCTGCTGCCCCCCATAACCCTGCTGCCCCCCATAACCCTGCTGCCCCCCATAACCCTGCTGCCCCCCATAACCCTGCTGCCCCCCATAACCCTGCTGCCCCCCATAACCCTGCTGCCCCCCATAACCCTGCTGCCCCCCATAACCCTGCTGCCCCCCATAACCCTGCTGCCCCCCATAACCCTGCTGCCCCCCATAACCCTGCTGCCCCCCATAACCCTGCTGCCCCCCATAACCCTGCTGCCCCCCATAACCCTGCTGCCCCCCATAACCCTGCTGCCCCCCATAACCCTGCTGCCCCCCATAACCCTGCTGCCCCCCATAACCCTGCTGCCCCCCATAACCCTGCTGCCCCCCATAACCCTGCTGCCCCCCATAACCCTGCTGCCCCCCATAACCCTGCTGCCCCCCATAACCCTGCTGCCCCCCATAACCCTGCTGCCCCCCATAACCCTGCTGCCCCCCATAACCCTGCTGCCCCCCATAACCCTGCTGCCCCCCATAACCCTGCTGCCCCCCATAACCCTGCTGCCCCCCATAACCCTGCTGCCCCCCATAACCCTGCTGCCCCCCATAACCCTGCTGCCCCCCATAACCCTGCTGCCCCCCATAACCCTGCTGCCCCCCATAACCCTGCTGCCCCCCATAACCCTGCTGCCCCCCATAACCCTGCTGCCCCCCATAACCCTGCTGCCCCCCATAACCCTGCTGCCCCCCATAACCCTGCTGCCCCCATCTCCCTTGATGCCCTGCAAGCTCCCCCTCCCCCCGCCCCCATGCTGTCTTCACATTCCCTGGTGCTCCCCAAACCTTGTTGCCCCCATTCCCTTGCTCCCTGCCCTACTTATTGCACCCCTTGCCCTTGCAGGGCTCCCATGTCTTACCTGGTGTAACCACACGTGCAGCAGGTTGCTGAAGGAGTGTTGGGGTTAGTAGTCACGACTCTCGATTCCACCTCTCCTCGGCTCACAACGAACCGGTTCTCGCCGGACCCTTCAGCATCGTATCTCTTCCCTTCGTCGCAGTTTGCCTTGATAATTGGTCGTGTCCTTGGCGGGAAGACCGCATCAGTGAGTTGTGAGTACTCGTGGCGCCTCTTTTCAATACTCTTTGAGAGCTTGGCCGTCAAGAGGTGCAACACTTGAGGGGGACTTTTGTCACGCAGCCCTGAGAGTGATGCGTGGTGTGACTCAACGGGGTTGGAGGTCATACAGCCAAAACGCGGAGCACCAAAGTGCGCCGAGGCCCACTTCTTATGCAAATCGTTGTCAACAATCGTGACGGTTACGCAGCAGAGAATGGGAGGGCCCCAAAATCAGAGTAGGGTGCGAGACAAGCGTGAGGGAGTGGAAAGGGAGAGAGTGAGTCGGGAGGTTTTTGGAAAAAGACAACGAGGCATTCGTGAGGGTTACACCACCGAGAGAGAGGGAGGGTACCCGGAAACTAGTTGCAGTAGAGCGACTCCACCAGGTTCCTGTTGAAGTTGGGGTTCCTCCGCCGCACGTGGCTCAGAATGCACATGAACAGCACCGCCAGGCGCTGCGCGCTGTGATTCGGAGGGTATGGGCTGCAAAGAGAGAATCAGATGAGGGGACGGGTTGAGGGAGTGAAAGGGGTTCAGGAGATGGAAGGGGACGGGGAGCAGCGGAGGGGGTTGAGTGCGGTTGAGATGGAGGATGGGGAGGACGGCGAGAAGAGGAAGCGGAGCGAGGAGAGCAAGAGGGTGGGGCTGGTGGGGGGCCTTAGTGGCCGATAAAGGTTCAGGTTTGATGGGTTGAAGGGGGTCTGGTCTGGTGGTGGATGTTGGTAGGCATAATGATGAAGCAGTGGAGGATGAGGAGGAGGGAGATGGTGAGCATAGCGAGCATAGTGACGATCATAGTGAGCAGCGGGAGAATGAGGAGTGGTCAGGTTCGGACAGAGGCTCGCTTGAAGGTTCGGGGGGTCGCAGGCTTGGCAGTGACCGTGGTTCGGCGGGAGTTTTGGCTCCAGAGCTTACACCCCAGGGGAGCTGGAGGGGTGATGACGTCACCCCCCTGGGCAGTTTCAGGGGTGATGATGCGTTAACTCCCTTGGACAGCTGGGGGGGCGAAGGGGAACTTACCCCGGTTTGGAGGGGTAAAGGGGAGATTACCCCGCAGGGAAGCGGGGACTGGGGAGAAGAGGCAGAGAGTGAAAGGGAGAGGGAGAGGGAGGAAGAGGGGGAGGGGGTTTTGACACCTGTGCTAACCCCTCAGGGCAGTTGGAGGGGGGACATGTCAGGGAGCGAGAGATGGGAAGGGTCTGAAATTGAGTTGCATCAGAGGGAGGGGGATTTTACACCTGACCTATCACCCCAAGGGAGCTGGAAAGACGAGGGGGAGAGGGAAGGGGTTTTGACGCCTGAGTTGTCGCCTCACGGGAGTTGGAGGGGAGAGTTTTCCAGGAGTGGGAGGAGGGAAGGGTGGGACGGGCTGGAGGGGGAGAGGGAGGGTAGGTACGAGGATGAGAGGGGGAGGGATGGAGGGAAGTGAGAGGGGGAGTGAGGGGTCTAGGGGTGAAGAAGAGGAGAGGGAGAGGGAGTGGGAGAGTTTGAGGGACGGGGAAGAAGAGGGGAGTGTGAGAGATGAGGATGAGGAGATGGAGAGAGGGAAGAGTGAGGGGGAACGTGAGGGAGAGAGTGAGGAGGAGGAGAGGGAGAGACAATGGGCCAAGATGCATGCTGGTAGTGAGGAAGGGAGTGAGGATGGAAGATGACGGGAGGATGGAGAGCGAAGATGAAGAAGTGGAGGAATTGAGAGGTGACGGGGGCGAGGGAGTGAACGGAGAAGGGTTAGGGAAGACGAAGAGGAGGAGCAGGAGGAGGAGGAGGAGGAGGAGGAGCAGTAGCAGGAGAAGGGATAACATAAGGAGGAATGTTTGAGTGAGGGCGAGTTGAGGGAAGAGGCAACGGGGGACGAGGATGGGGACAGGTCAAGGGCTCAAAGGGACAGTCGTGATATTGGAGGTGGGCGTATGAGTGAGAGCGATGGGAGTGAAAGCGATGACGATGTTGCTGTTGCTGCGGCCGCCCCTTCTGTGGCCGCCCTTTCCGCTGGCATTGTTGGGGTGGGGCTGACAGTGGGAGCTTCTGTAAGATAGGGTGGAGAGGGAGTGTATCCGATGCAAGGCGATGCGTCCATGCTCTTATTGAGTCTGCTTTTGACGAGAATGAGCTTGGGGAGAAGGGGGAGCAGGAGGAGAGGGAGGAAGAGAGGGAGGAGCAGGAGGAGGAAGGAGGTAAGATGGGGAGCTTGAGGCGAGAGAGTGGGATGAGGGGCGTGAGGAGGATGAGGAGGTTGGTGGGAAGGAGTCTGGTAGTGAGCGGGATCGGGAGGAGGAGAGAGAGGAGGAGGAAAGGGAGGAGGAGAGGGGAGCAGAGGCAGTTGGTGGTGGTTCTATGATGGGGGAAAGCGAGGGAGAGGAGAGCAATAGGGAAGCCAGTGAGGGTGAGAGGGAAAAGAGAGAGGAGGAAGCGGACAAGAAAGAGGGTATTGAGAGGGAGGGGAGTGAGCGGGAGGAGTGTGAGGGGGATAGTGACGGGGAGATGAGGAAGGAGAGGCGACACCGATACCATCAGAACACGATGGCGGAAGATGAGGAGGAGGAGGGGGAGGAGGCGGATGAGGGTTACAGAGAAAGGAATTACAAGGAGGAGCGTTATACGGAGCATGGGGAGGATAGAGATGAGTACGAGAATAATGGAGAGGAAGAAGAGGGCACGTTTGCGGAGGCAGGCTGGAGGAAGGCAAGTTGGAGGAGGATAACAAGCGGAGTGGAGAAGGGCTGTTTGAGAATGGGGCGAGGGGTGAAGAGGAGAGTGAGGGGGAGAGTGAGGGGGAGGGCGAGGAGGAGGAGGATAGGAGGAGAGTGAGGGTGATGAGATGGATGTTGGTGAAGGGGTGGAGAGGCAAGGCTATGGAGGCATGGAGAGGGGGGAGGAGGAGGAGGAGGTGGACGAGAGAGGGGAGAGGGACTATGGGGAGGGGAGAGGTTATAGGTTGGTGGATGAAGAGAGTGAGGGAGAGTGAAGGAGGAATGGATGAGAGAGTGGACGATAGGGATGGGTATGAGGAAGGGGAAAAACCGAGTGTGGGAAAGATACAGGCGGAAGAGGAGGTTGGGGTTCAGAAGAGGGAGAAGAGGGCAGGGGGGCAGGGAGAAGAGGGCAGGGGGGCAGGGAGAAGAGGGCAGGGGGGCAGGGAGAAGAGGGCAGGGGGGCAGACAGTGATGAGGACAAGGACGAGGAGGTTGCGACTGGACAGGCTATTGTGGGGGAGGTCGTATCTGTGCAACGGGAGGACGGTGAGCAATCCGCTGAGCGCATTGCAGGCCGCGTGAGAGACGCCTAAGGCAGGGAAGTTGAAGTGCAGTGAGTGAGTCCCCAACCCTGGATGAGGTTGGTGAGCGGTGAGCCCCCACGGGGGAGCAGTCACATGTTTCTGGAAGTCATCAAGGGCAGGGCAGTTCAAGTAAAGTGGAGTGAGGGAGTGAGCGAACCTTGACGATGTTGGTGAGGTGGTCGTATGGCTCAAAGCGGAATGGCTGTGGGGCGAAGAAGCCTGCAAACACCTGCCCTAGAACCGGTGGGGAGGGAGAGGGGGGAGAGAGAGAGAGAGAGAGAGAGAGTGGCGGGGTTGAGTAAAAGCAAGGAAAGGGTGGGCTCACCGCTGAGCGCATAGCGCTGGCCGCGAGAGAGCAGCTATGCGCCCAGGAGTCAGGATTCCGCAGGGCGAATAGCGCTGGAGGGAGAGGCGCAATGCGCCCAGCGGTGAGCAATTTGCTGAGAGCATTGCTGGCCGCGAGAGAGGCGCAATGCGCCCAGCGGAATGCGCAATCCGCTGAGCGCATTGCTGGCCGCGAGAGAGGCGCAATGCGCCCAGCGGAATGCGCATAGCTTGGCGCATAGCTGGTTGCGAGAGAGGCGCAATGCGCCCAGCGGTGAGCATTCCGCTGGGCGCATAGCGCTGGCCGCGAGATGCGCGGTACGCGCCCAGCGGCGAGCATTCCGCTGGGCGCATAGCGCTGGCCGCGAGATGCGCGCTACGCGCCCAGCGGCGAGCATTCCGCTGGGCGCATAGCGCTGGCCGCGAGATGCGCGCTACGCGCCCAGCGGCGAGCATTCCGCTGGGCGCATAGGCCGCGAGATGCGCGCTACGCGCCCAGCGGCGAGCATTCCGCTGGGCGCATAGCGCTGGCCGCGAGATGCGCGCTACGCGCCCAGCGGCGAGCATTCCGCTGGGCGCATAGCGCTGGCTGCGAGACAGGCGCTATGCGCCCAGCGGCGAGCATTCAGAATTTCGAAGAATGGATAGATTCGAGTAGGTTCAGCATATAGGGAAGAGAAAGGGACAGAGACGCACCTCTGATACGGATCAGCTGTAACTCGAGCTTCCGTGAATTTGATGGGGGGTAATAAGTCTGCTAAGAAGTCCTTACTAGTAAGTTAGTGTGGAGTGTGATAGGGCTAGAGCAGGATGACGGGGAGCAATCTGGTGGGCCACGGGAAGCTTGTAGCTTTGCAGGTTGGGTTGATCTTAGTGTGCACGCGGTGTACAATACGCTTGGTTCTGGTTCGGTTGAGTGGCGTACGTGGTTCAGGAGGACGTGGGTGCATCACAGCTCGTGGATTGGTTTGGCGCGAGCGGGAAACCGTCAAATCAGGGTCATGTCAGAGTTGATTTCATCGAAGTTACCATTCGCGTGATGGGCTGCTAGTGTATAGTTACCAAACGTGTTAAGCTAGTTACCAAACGCGTTAAGCAAGTTACCAAACACGTTAAGCGGGTTACCAAACACGATGAAATCGTTATCGTACGCGTTACAGTGCCCCATGTAAGTTACCATTGACATATTTTCCCTTCTTATTTCACTGTCGTCGAATAGGCGGTAGGTTGACGTGCAAATTAAATATTTGCACCCAACAAGGGCGACGGGCTAGGGCGCGGGCCTGGGCGACGGGCTAGGGCGCGAGCCAGGGCGACGGGCTAGGGCGCGGGCCTGGGCGACGGGCAGCGGGGGGGAGGCGCTGTTCGACGGGCAGCGGGGGGGAGCACGGGTCGACGGGCAGCGGGGGGAAGCGCGGGTCGACGGGCAGCGGGGGGAAGCGCGGTGCTACGGGCAGCGGGGGGGGGGGGGGGGGGGAAAGCGCGGTTCGACGGGCAGCAGGGGGGGGGGGGGGGAAGCGCGGTTCGACGGGCAGCGGGGGGAAGCGCGGGTCGACGGGCAGCGGGGGGAAGCGCAGCGCAACGGGCAGCGGTACGCTAGATCGAGCTACACTGGATCGGGCTACGCTAGATCAGGAGGCAGAACGAGCGGGTAACGAACGAAAGGGACTAGATCGGGCCGGCACTAGGCTCGGGCAAGACGGGCGAAACGAGTGAGACAGGCTTGGAAGAAACGAACGAGGACGGGAGGAGCGGGATCCCACAGGATCCGAACCTAGGTGATACCATGTCAAACTGAGGAATTGATGATGCATTCATGTTGGTTGGGGTACAAGTAGCTAACCCTAACTTTTGTACTCCCTAAGACAAACCTCACTATAGGCTACCACATTTGACAGAAAGGGGGGTAAGGGTGGGGGGGGGGGGGCGTGGGGGGGGGGGGGGGGGGGGGGGGGGGAAGAATTGGGGGGGAGGGGGTTCTCGGAACCGAAAGTAGAACTTAGATTCAGGGGACGGCCTAGATTAAGCACTTAACGCGTCCGGGAAGGGCCAAACGATGCCCTTAACTGGCACGAGTGCAGTCGAATCAAACCCTTAAAATGGCCGAGCTGCGCCAAACCTAACCCGGAATGTTCAGGGCACTAAGGGCAAATGCCCTTGAATCGACAGCCCTGGTTGACAGCTGTGAAAGAGACGGATATTGTACATCATGGGCTTGGTTGTCTTGGAGCTGGCGACAAACTTTTGGCAACGCAAAACGAGGCACTGAAACTTTATATAAATACTGTGTATGGGAATATGCGCACAAGGGCGAATTGCAAGACCTGGGCACAACGAATATGTACAAACAAAACCTGGGCACTTGGCAAAAAAGAATCACACACACGCGCTAGATTTGGAAGCTAGTGTCACATGAAAATGTCAGAAAATTGTGCTGTGTAGGCTGTAGTGGGGTAGCCAATATGGGGTACAACCCAATTAGGGTTAGTACTTGTACCAACTTTCTCATCAATGCATTCATTCCTGCTGCTAGATTCTGACATGGTTTCAGAGCAGGTCCTGTTCCAGGGTGAATTTTTTTTTTAGGGCCCACCGTACAGTTCCCTGCCCGTAGCGCGTTACCCTGCTCGTAGCGCCCTACCCTGCCCGTCGCGCTGCCCCACCAGTTGCGCTTCCCTGCCCGCGTGCCACCCTGCTGGCTGCTGCGATGCCTTTCCCGTTGCGCTGCCTCGCACACGCTCTGCCCTGCCCTGCGTTGCGCCGCCCCGCCCATGCCCGGCTCCGCGTCGCGCTGCCCGCGAACGCCCTGCCCTGCGTCGCGCCGCCCGTGCGCCCCTGCTGCCTGTCGCGTCGCCCGTGCGGGCTGCCCCAGCCCGTCGCGTCGCAAGTCCGCCCTGCCCTGCCCGTCGCGTCGCCCGTGCGGGCTGCCCCAGCCCGCCGCGTCGCCCGTACGCCCTGCCCCTGCCTATCGCGTCGCCCGTGCGGGCTGCCCCAGCCCGCCGCGTTGCCCGTCCGCCCTGCCCTGCCCGTCGCATCGCCCGTGCGGGCTGCCCCAGCTCGCCGCGTTGCCCGTACGCCCTGCCCTGCCCGTCGCGTTGCCCGTACAGGCTGCCCCAGCCCGCTACGTCGCCCGTACGCTCTGCCCCTGCCCGTCGCGTCGCCCTATTGGCCACGAGCCGCCCTGTGCAGCCCGCGCACTCCCCTTTTCTGCCCGCGCGCCGCCCTGGCAGCCTGCGCGCTGCCCTTGCAGCCCGCACGTCGCCCTTCCAGCCCGCGCACTGCCTCTTGCCTACTCGCACGCCCTCCCCAGCCCGAGCGCCGCCCTACTTGCAGCGCGCCGCCCGACTCTGGCCGCGCGCCGCACTTCCCTGACCGTGCGCCACCCCGCCCTACCCTACGCATTGCCCTAGTGCCTGCTCGTTGCTCTGCCTTCCCTGAGTGCTGCCGTGCTGGTCGCACGCCTCCTTGCTTTGCCCGCTATGACTTCTCTTCGTGGTAGCGGTGGGAGTGGTGGCGGCGGTGGTGGCAGCAGTGGGAGTGGTGGCGGCGGCCGTAGTGGCGGTCGTGGTGGGGCTGTTCAGTGGGGAGTTTCTGGCGGTGGCCAGATGCAGCTGCGGCGACTTCCGCGCGTGACCCTTACGTCCCAATAGCTTCGTGAGTGCGTCTCGGAGTACTGCTCACTGCCCATACATCATTCGCACAGGTGCTCGGGCAGGTCAGACTTGCGGGACACCTGGCCACACACAGTCCCATTGCTTCGCCTGTCTGAGTGACTCCTGGAGCGCAGTGTTTGGCAACGAGGCTTAGCTCCCCCAGTGGCTAGAGCTACTTCGGGACAAAGCGGATATATTTGCTCTAGACAATGACGCTATCCTTACTGCAATGTATGTTTTGACTGCTGGTACTGAGGGTGATTGTTCCTCGTGTGTGTCGCTCGACCTTGGTATAGAGGCTCCTGCTCTAGGTGCTAGTGAGTCTGCTCTCTCTGGTACTGCGCCTGCTGAGGCCTTGCACACCTTCACGCTTGACTCAAGTGCTTCCCGCTGCTTCTTTCGCGACAGTACCACAGTCACACCACTCCCAAGACGAGTTGTAGTCTTACAAGCTGACCCCTCTGGGGGACCAGTTCTTGCACGTTCATCCACTGTTCTCCTATGTCCGCCGGTTCCGTCCAGCTCACTGTCAGGTCTCCACCTCCCCTCGTTCT